CTGTCTGGGCCCGCCAAGCCCCGCGGCTCCAAGCGGGGAGCCCAGCAAGCACAGGTGCGGCGCCTGGCACGCTGCAGGGCGGCGGGGTGAGGCGGGGGCGGGCAGGGGCGAAAAGGTGAAGGTCGAAGGAGGCTGAGAGGGATCCTGAAGCCCAGCCTGGGGTCGTCCCCGCTCCGGTGGGCCGCATCAGACGACGACGGGGGTGGGGGGCGCCGTCCCTGCTGCCCCTCGGGCCCGTCATCCCGCCCGGCTCTCTCCCTGGCCCTGAGTCCCACCCCCCCCACCCCTCACCCGCGAAGCTGCTATTTGACCTGATCACAGTTTGCGGTGCAGAGCCCTGCCGTCCCAGGCCGGAGGACTGGTGGCAGGCACGGGAGCAGCCCACAGCTGCTGCCCGCCCACCCCTCAGGGCCTGTCTCTCCCGGCCGGCGCCCGGCCGGGCCAGCTTGGGCGCGTGCAGGTGCACCTCCATCCCCGCCCCGCCCCGCCCCGGGGATCACGGCCGCCACCTGTGGAAGCGCGGGCCTGTCGGCTGCGCTGCGGGCCCCTGGGCGGCATGCGGCGCACACGGCTGTGCTGGGGGACGGGCTCCCAAGGTCCGACAGTGGGCCCGCTGCGGGCCGAGGAGGCCTGTGGCCTCACCTGTGGCACGGGGGAGAGGGGCTCCTGTCTTGCTCCGGAGCACTTCCAGGGCTGGAGGCGGCACAGTGGGCGCAGGTGTCCTGGATCCGCGGCTCTGACCTCGCGGGGACACCTGCTCCGTCTGCGGAGCTGGCACGGGCTGGACCCGGGAGCGTTCCCTGTCTCCCGAGGGGCCGGCCGGTCTGCGCCGGGAGGCGGCAAAGCTGCTTCATCGCTTGGCAGGGACTGTCACCATCTGGGTGTTGGCCGCCTCTTCCCCTGGTTGTGTCTCCTGCCCCGTGTCACAGCAGGTCACCTTGCGCTCCTGTAGGTAGGGCTCTGTCCTCCTCGGACTGCGACCCTGTGGACCCTTGGTCAGAGGCTCACGGCCCCTGCACGGGCGGCGGGACAGCAGGCGGCCTTCCGCGCCTCGCACCGAGGAGGCGGGGTCTGGGGGGCCCGCGTGTCCCCCCCGGGCGGGGGCCGTACGCCCCGAGCGCGGGTGGTTTTCCTCTGGCGTGCACTCGGGGGCGGGGTGGCCAGGAGGATAAGCCTTCGTGGTGGCGGGGTGGTCGCAGTTCCTGGAATTTGCCCAGAAATACGTGTGGTATCAGCGTGTGGTCGCCCGTCGCCGTCTCATGCCCTGAGCAGTGTGGCGTCCGGTCCCGCTAGCTCCCGGTCTGTCCGGGGCAGACGGTGGGGGGCGGGCGGGTGGCCGAGTGCGGTGTCCGAGGGTGTCCCTGGAGCCCTCCTTCCTGCTGGGGGCACCCCAAAGGGCCGGCCTTCTCCCCTCCCGCACCTGTGCCTGCCACCTTCCCCACGCCCACGGGAGAGCCGGTGTGCTGGGCTGGTAAGGCCGCTGGCACCTGCAGCACTCGGGGGGGGGGGTGCCAGTGGGTTCGCCACCTCCCAGGCGAAGCCACTCGGGGCGGAGGGGCAGGGACGCAGCACCAAGGGCCCCCTCGAACGGCTCGCCCGGCCCGGGTTCTGGGGACATGGGGGCTGCAGCGCTCAGACCAGGGCAGCTCTGGGCAGGTGGTCGCTGGTCCTCGCAAACACGGCGAGAGTTGCTTCCCTGGGGGCTGCGCCGCTCTGCGCGCCCAAGCGACCTCACGGCTGGCCGGCGTCCCCAGCAGGCGTCCCCGGCAGGTGGCCCTGGTTCGGGCCGTGGGGCAGCGTCTCGCCCCAGCCGCTGCCCTGGGCCCGTCCTGGGGTTGGGCCTCGTCCCTGCTCGTCCTCTTCCCGGAGCCGCGGGGACTCCAGGGACGGGAGGGCTGAGGTGGGCCTTGGGCTCGTCAGCCCCTTGGCCACCCTGCTCCGAGGCCTGGGGTTCGGGACTCGGGGCGAGGCCCCCACCCTCCAGGGGCCCCCAGGCGATGTGGAGGCAGGTGGGGACGTGTCACGGGGCAGCCCCCCGGCGCAGGCTGTGGGAGTGCTGGCGAGGAAGGAAAGGGCGACCCCAGAGCACCTTTGGGTGGCTTAGAACGGGAGCCCTGTGAGCGCTGGCCGGGTGCCTAGCGCTCCGGGACTGTCACACGTTCTCGTGGAACCCGTTTGCGACGTAACCTTGGACGTGACTCCTGACAACGCTCCCCTCGGCTCTGAAGTCTCTGCTGCTGCCTGTGACTCTGGTTTTCAGCAGGTGCCGGGACAGATGGCTTGTGAAGGAGTGACTCAGACGGGCGCCGCCCTGGTGGTTTCTAGGTACAACAGAGGGAGTTGGGTTTCTCCCTGGCCACGTGTGTTTTGGGGGAGAGGACCCAGGGTGGCTGGGAGACCAAGGGAAGTGACCAGGCAGGCAGGGTGGCAGAGCAGAACCCAAGCCGGTTTGGACCTGAAGGGAGAGAGGTGGTGGGATGGCAGGCGGGACGGTCTGGGGAGGAAACCAGGGGCTGGGGAGACCGGCCCCTCCTCCGCCGTCTGCTGAGCCTTGCGGGGCCCGGCCCCTCGTGTGGCCTGCGCTGCAGGCTCTGGGCCCGGGACGAGCCATTTCCAGAGAGAAGCTGAGAGCCAGAAGCGCAGGGGCCCAGGGACCGTTACTGTGTGTCCCCCTGTGGGCCTCTCTCTCCACCGCAGGAGCACAGGGCCCTGTGGCCTCTCCCGTGGCCGGGCCTCTCCCACGGCCGGGCAGGCGTCAGCAGCCCCACAGCACGGCCTGCGGTCCTCTTCCGAGCACTGCAGAGTTTGGGTCCCACAGACAGTCAGCCCGGCCGCTCCTGAGTCCTAAATCCGCCTCTGGGTGGGGGGGCGCTGTCCCTTCTGCCGGGCTCCTTGGAGTCTCCCGTGCACACGTGCAGTGCGGGGTCATCCGAGGACCTGGGTGGGGTGGACGTCTGGGACGTGGGCTCCCTCTGTGAGGCCCCCGTGAAGTCGCTGCCTCCCTCTGACGCTCCTCGGGCCGCCCCGTCTCTGCGGCCCGCCCCACCAGGGGTCTGAGTGAGCCGTTCGGCTCACACTCCGGGCTGTGCCGCGGGCCGTGTGCTGGGCAGGCACCGCGCTCGCCGAGCGCCTGTCTGCCTGCGCGAGGCTCCCCAGTGCCTTCCGAGTGTAATTGACGGACTTCATCTTTTAAGACTCATGTAATGATCAAAGGAAAATTGGGTGGCGAGGACGGAGTTCCCATAGACCCTCCTCCCCAGTCTCCCCTGTCACTGGTCTCTTGCTCAGCGTGGTGCACTTGTCACAACTGAGCCCCTGCGGACACACTGTGGTTAGCTAGTGTCCACAGCTGTATTGCCGTTCACTCTCTGTGTCCACATTCTCTGCAGAGTTACTTTGTATCTTGTCCAGACTTCTGTTTTCCGTGTGAAGGAGCCCTGTCTGGTGATGACACAGTTGCTCCAACATGACCAGAAGCACCATCACCTGATGCGTTTATTTCTGGTTCACATGTCTCTTTCTCTGGTCTCGGAAACGCTCGTGGATAAAGGGGGTTCCCCGAGGAGGGCGACGGCAGAAGGGCTGTCCGGTCCAGGGGTGGCGGGGGCACTGTGGCTGTCAGCTGCCACGTCAGGCTGCTTTCGGGTTGTGGGTTACATACCAGGAGACACTGCAGCCGAGAGTGTCCTTGTCTTCAGAAGCTAATCTCCAGAAAACGGGGTGGAAGCGAGAAAGGGGAGATGAGCTTTCCGAGGCTTTAATCCAGCCCCGAGGCTGCGGTTGTGTGGAAACTCGGGGGGCTAACTGCCAGGCCCTTCGGGGGCCTGGTTTGCAGTTGGCGCCTGCTGACCTGGGAGACAGAGCCGTAGGTGAACTGGCCAGAGGGTCTCACGTCGCGACCGCCCAGTGCGGTCGCACCTGCCTCATTGCCGTCCCTTTCTCGGTGCTGGGGGGGGAGGTCGCTCCAGGGGACCGGCCTTGCCGCATGTCACAGGAAGGTCCTGCTGTTCCCACAGCCGCAGACCCGTCCTGACTCCCACTCCTACCCCCACGGAAGCCGCCTTTGCTCAGGGCGTGGGCCCCCCCCCCCGGGGGGGCTGAGTTCCGGGGTTTCCCCTGGGCTCCCTCGTGGGACTGGGCGGCAGAAGGAGAGGCCGAGCCCAGGGGCTGGTCGGGGCCAGGAAAGACGTCCAGGCTGTCTCTCGCGTGGGGACCCGCGGAGCAGGGCGGTGCCAGTGAGGGCGCGAGCCTCGTCGCGCAGAACGGATGCCCCGCGCGTCCCGGAGCCCCACGCCCGCCGTGGCGCAGGGACGTGGTGCAGAGACGCACGCCCGGCTGCTGGCACTGGGGCTCCTTCCTTCGCCCGGCACCTCCCTGGGCGACCCGGACGGTGTCCGGTGAGGAGCCACTCACACACCGAACATGGACCTCACGTGTCACTCTGTGTGGTCAGGTCCGACGTTTCAACAAAACACGGCGCGTCCTTTCTTCTTCTCCAGTCCGGGGCTCACGCGGTGTGCGGGCTCTCCGAAACACCGGGCCCCCGGGGCTGTGCCACGGGCTGAGAGACCTTCCCCGTCCTGCCGTTGGTCTTCCGGGAGTGCTGTAGGGTGTGCGCAGCGGGTCTGTGTGAGAGACCTCCTCGGCTCCTGGGCCCTGCCTGGGACCCCGGGCCGCAGGGAGGGAGGTGGCACAGGAAGGCCACCGTGTCACCCCAGCTGGGTCGGGGCCGGTCTTCCCCTGGGTCTTTCTGGGGCCTGCTGGGGCCAGCGCTGCACCTCGGGGGGAGACCGCGAGGGTGAAGGGAGCACTTGGTCACCTCATTTCAAAGACTCCATTGGTTTGCTTTTGACACACACAGCTAGAAGGAGTCACCTGTGTGGCTGCTGCGAAGTGGGGTGACGAACTGGCCGGCCCCCCAGGGCCTGTCCGCTGCTCACTGGCCGCCCTGGGGACGCGTGCCAGCCCTGTTCTCACTGGGCGTTTGCTTCTCCCCGCAGTACGTCGGGAGCCTAGACGTGCCGCGGCCCAACAGCAGAGTGGAGATCGTGGCTGCCATGCGCCGGATCCGGGTGAGTGCCGGCGGCGGGGCTGCCCCTGGGTCCCCGGGTCCCCTCCCCACTCCGCAGGGGAGCTGTTCCCAGTGGGGGCGTGGCCTGGAGTGAGGGCCAAGGGCCAAGTGGATGGAGCGGCTGCAGGGGCACATCCTTCCCCTCGGCTGGCCTGAGGCTGCTCACCCTGAGGTGCCTGGCGCCCTGGCTGGCAGACGTGTGGAGCCCAGCGGGGCGTGGGCGGGGGTGGCGAGAGGGTCTCAGTCAGCGGCGTTGGGGAAGGGCTTGGCCAGCAGCAGTTAATGAGCACGGAACAGTCAAAGCCCAGAGCCATTGACTGTGATACAGAAGGCGGGGTTCCCTCGGAATTTCAGGAACAAGTGTGGGAGTTCACCCATCTCCTCGACCGGCTGCTTTGGGCTCTGCAAGTGTGTGTGCCTCCCCTGCCATTGAGGGCCCTCGGGTCGGGGGGGTGCCGGACGCCCCTCCTGGCTCGGGGGCGGGGCAGAGCACGCGCACCCACCGAGGTGTCTCCTTCCGACCTCTGCGCGGGGCCCTGCCAGGTGCCGGCCCTGAGCGGGGCGGTCGCTGCAGGTCCGTGGGCACTGACGGGCTCGGGTGGGTCGGACGAGCTGCGGTGACTTTGGGGTGGGGGGGGGTGTGGGGGGCTGGGAGTCATCCTGAGTGCAGCCCGTTCGTGCTCCCTGTGCCAGGAGCCCTGTCCCCGTGACCTGCTTCCAGGGCTTAATGAGCAGCCCGTCACGTTGGAGGGAGAGATTCACTGGCCACGGAGCTGCTTGGTCGGCTGCCCGCAGCCTGTGCGGACTGGCTGCCACCCACTGGGTGTGGGTGTCCTGCAGGCCCCTGTGCCGTGGCAGGGGGGCTTCTGGGCGGGGCTGCCGCTGCCCGGGACTGGGGCGAGGGCCTTCCGTGTAGAGGGCAGTTCCCGGCTCGGTCCTTTGTGTTGAGCGGGCGAGGCCAGCGTCGGGCTGGTCAGGGTGGGGCTCGGGCCTCCCGGCCTGGCCAGGGCAGCGAGCGCTCCCTGGGCGCAGCAGGTAGGACCCGGGTCACAGTGTTCTCATGGGTGCCACATGCAGTGTCCCCTCCCTGACCCCGTGTGCGGCTGTGCTCGGGACCGTGGGTGGGGCAGTACAGGGTGCATCACCCCCCCCCCCCCGGGGCAGACTGGCCCTCTCCTTCCCAGCCCCACCGCCTCTGGCTCAGCCTCCCTGTGGGTGGGCCCCTCACGCGGCTGGCCAGTGGGCAGCCCTGGGCGTCTGGAGGGCCATTCCTGCCTTCCCATCAACTTCCTTGGAGACTCAGGCTCCTAGGCCCTGGGTGACGCCCCGTGGGGGTGTCCGAAGGGCACCTCAAGTTCAGTGTGTCCCTCAAAGACCAACTCCATCGTGTCTGCGGCCTCTTCTCGTTGCTTGGAGCCCTCCCCCCTCTGTGTTCCCTCTGTCCGGAGACCCCCTTGCCAGACAGCCCACCCAGGCGGGAGTGGGAGCCGGGGGGCCTCAGGGTTGCCCTTCGGCGCTTCTGTGGCAGCCCCCCCCCCAGTCCCCCCATCCCCCCGCCCCCTAAGCGTTTCTCAGACGTGCGGCTCCCTCCCCGTCCCCAGCCCCCAGCCGGGGAGGCCCGGGGCGTCTGATGCACAGACGTTGGCAGTGGCCTTCCAGCGGTCACTCTGCGCCCTCCCACCGCCTCCACGCTGCTGCCCAGCGCCCGCGTCTGCCGGCAGGTTTGCGGGGGTGGCTGTCCGGGACCCTGCAGCTCCTCGCCTGCGGACTGGGGGCTGGACTCTGGATTCCCTGGCGCCCGGGCCCTGCACATGTCCTGGGGCTGCCTCTGCCTGGGAGGCACCCCCTTCTCTCTGTGGCTGAGCCTGTCCCCTCAGGTATCCTCCACAAGCCTCCCTTCTAGAAGCTTCCCTCTAGAGACCTTTGTGCACTCACCATGCTGGTAAAGGTGACAGAGGGAGGAAGAAGGGCTCTGAGTCCCCCAAAGCCTGCCTTCTCTGGGGGACGGGACCACCGCCGCTCCCCGTGGAGCAGGGGGCTCCCCCAGCTGCCCGGTCTCTGTCACGGAAACCTGTTCCTCAGACACGGTGAGGAGTTCTGGTTGGCTGGTACACCTGGTCTCCAATCAGCAGGATGACGGTCACGTCCGAGGGGGTCTGCCTTTAAACCAACACCTGCCCTGCGGGAGCCGGGGGCCACGGCTCGCGGCCAGGTGGTTCACCGGGAGAACTCGTGCTGTGCTGACTTAGGTAGGGCTCGCACTTCTGTCCGTCCCCGGACGCCCCGGCGTGTCCCTGCACGGCTGAGCCCTCGGCTGCCCGGGGTCAGGGCCCAGGCTCCGTGCGCAGGGCCACACGTGCGGGCGGCAGGCGCCCCTCCGGCCTCAGAGCGGCCCCCGCGCTGGCCCCGAGCCTGACTGCGGGCGCTGAGCCGGCCCGTCCAGCGGCAGGAGGTACGCCAGCGTGGGTCGTGTCCCTGCATGTGGGTCGTGTCCCTGCACGGACGGGAGGCGGGGAGGCAGGCAGGCCTCCGTCCCGTTTGGGGCTTTCGCTGCCCAGGCCCAGAGACCGGCACCTGGGGGGATTTGGTGGGGCCTGACCTTTCCGCAGGTGTGGCAGCGGTCATGGGACTTTCAAAGTCCTCACTTGACCTTCCTGCCCTCGGGCCAGGTGTGCGCTGAAGGCATCTCTCTGCCCCCAGGGTGGCCTACCAGCTCCCCCCGGCAACTCCTCTCCTGCGGGGTGGGCTCTTCACCCCCAGGTTCCTTCTCCGCCCCCCCCCCCGCCCCCGTCCTCACCCAAGGGTGTGTTTGCTGATTTTGGGGAGGGAGAGGGGAGGGAGAGAAAAACTTGGATGTGAGAAAAACATCCACTGGTTGCCCGCCAACCGATCACCAGACTCGAACCCACAACCCTCTGGTGCGTGGGACGACGCTCTGACCGGCCAGGGCAGAGCACGTTTTGGTTGGTTGGAGCAGCCCAGGCCTTGGGCTCGCCTGAGGAGCTAGGCGGGCAGGGAGGAGGGGGGTGCCGGGCTGAGCAAACTCGGTGAGGAGGGCCCTGCGCCAGGCCCCTCGGGTGGGGTCTGAGTCCCCACCCAGCCCGGCGCTGAGCCTGCCCGGAGCAGCTTACGCGGAGCAGCTGCCCAGAGGCCTCCGCGTGGTTTCCCTCCAGCCCGGACGGCTGCCACAGTCCCCACGGTGATGGCACTCAGCTCAGCGGGGAAGCACCCCGCGCCCCTGGCGCCCGGGCTCTGGTCTGTGGCGTGTCCGCCCCGGCTCGTTCTCCGCTCCTCTCCGAGCCTCCTTTTCCGGGGATCCCCCTGCTCCCCAGGGCTCTCTGCACCATGCCCTCCAGTGCCGAGGCCGGCGGGGGCGGGGCACCCAGCCCGTGTCCCTGCGTGTCCTCTCCAGGCCCCACGCGGGGGAGCGGGGAGGACATTCCCTCATCACCCCCCCCCCCCCCCCCCGGACTCCTGGTGCTGTTCTGTGGTTTCCTGAGCGGCCGGAGGATCTGCATCTGGGCTGCAGGGGAAGATAAGGGATTCCAGACATTCCTGCTGCTCTCTCCCGAGAGCTGGCCAGATGCCTTTCTCCCCCACCCCCGCCCCCGCCAGGAGGCCCAGGAGGAGAGGGGGTGGGGCGAGACCGGCCCTGTACCTGCCTGCCTCCGAGTCTGTGCTGGCATTCGGTCTCCAGGGCCGCGGCCCCTCAGCTCCAGTGAGGACAAGCCTGCTGCCGTCTGTGCGGGCACACTGCCCCTGCAGCCTGGCCGTGCCCCATCCGTCATCCGTGGGGGATGCGGTGACGGGGGCCAGGGGCTTGTCTGAGTGCTGGCGGGGGGGGGGGGCTGGTGCTCGGCTCACGGTCCGCTGCTGCTCAGCTGGGAGGGGACTGTGCCCCGGAAGTGAAGGGAGGTGGCTGGGGTTTTAGGTCAGTGAGAGCATCCTGGTCTCCTAAGCCTGGGTCCTGGGTGACCGGAGTGACTGAGGCCAGTGCTTCCCCAGGCGTGGCCCGGAGGCCGGCCGCCCTGCCTGGGAGCCTGTTAGAAGGGTGCTCTTGGCCCCACCCATGACCCAGCCCAGGAGCTCCGGGGTTTGACGAGCCCTCCCGGTGGTCTTGATGGACGTCGGTGTGGGGGCTGTGGTTCCGGGCTGTCAGCCTGACCTTTGGGGTTCCTTGGGGCGTCCCAGGCTCCGGCATGAAAGCCGTTGCCCTTGAGATGACTCTGTGGAACGGGACTGGCCCAGGAGAGGTTTTCAGAGGCGGGCAGCTGTGTTTGGCGACGGGCTCATGGGAAGGAAGGCCTGTGGAGCCGGAGACGGGCGGCGCAGGCTTGGGGGAGGTGGGGCGCTGAGCAAAGGGCTGTGGAGGCCGCAGTTCTGGGTGGCTGTGTTGAGAGCTGGGCCGAGGCCGACGGCCGCCTTCACCTGCAGAACGGAGCCCCCCCACCCCCCCCCCACCCCCCCCCCATTTACCCCCGGAGGCTCCAGCAGTGTGTCCGAGGGAGGCTTCTCCGGCCTGTGGCTCTGTGGACGCTCAGCCCCTCTGGGCTTCCGCAGTGCCAGCCCCTTCCGGTCTGGGTTCGTGTGGACGCAGAGCCGGGTCTTGGCTCCCTGGTCTCCTGTCTGTCTCCTGCAGGCAGTTTTGGGTGTGATGCCCATTTGGTTTTTAAGTTCATGGTCAGCAGCGTGAGTGTGACATGCTCCTGGCCCCCTTTCTGCAGGGCGAGGCCTGTCCCCACCTCCTGCACACAGACAGCCCAGGGGACCTGAGGAGGTGCCTGTCCCTGTCGCCCGCTGCCCCCAGGCCCTGCACCCTCCACTGTGACCTGGCCAAGGAGCGGCACAGGCCCGGGCCAGGGGCCGGAGGGCTCGGCCCAGAAGTCCCCGGGGAGGGCTCGGCCTCTTTGGAGGGCGGGTGGTGCGTTGCTGGAGGGGTTAGCACGGGAGGGTCTCCTGGACTGTCGGCCAGGGGCCGGCACCTCTCAGGCTCTCGGGAGA